TTACGCCTGGTTAGTGATGGCCTGTTAATGCTACATAATGTGTAGTTATGTGTAGTAAAGTTTACACAATCAAATAGGGGGTTAATAGGAGAGTCAAATAGTTAAGAAATCAGGGCCAGGCGACAAGTTTTTATCTAAATGTTCCCTATTTTATTCTCTCATATATTTATATATATATTTTACATGTATATTAAAAAGGCATCATAACAGAAAACTCATATATCTTCAATTCATTAAAAAATTAAACGTTTCAGAGTACCAAACTCCATCACCAATGATAAGATCCCAAATTACATCCCAAATTTAGCTAAAAATAATTAAATATACATCACAAATATATATTCACTAAAAATTAATATTCTAAAAGTTAAAAATAAACTATATATACAAATTATCTACCAAAATATATACCCCTAAAACCAGAATAATGAAAGGACTGAACACATTGAAAAGGTGATAATATGATGACAATTTTATAAACAAGTGTCTCGACCGCTGCGAGCTGTCCGACTTAGGCTTCATTTTAAACATTCTAGACACTTTATAAAATGCTAAGTTCACGGCGAGACGAACTGCAAGGGAAATTTGAACGAAACTGAAAACTAGTTTTCAGTCTGTGTTTACTCACAATAACACCATTGTAAACTATTTGAAACATAGAGATCCACAAGCGTTTGAACAGTCATCTGGTTTTGTTTACATGTTTGAATATTCGAATTGTAACGGTCGTTATGTAGGAAATACTTCACAAAACCTTATATATTATATTAGTGAACATATGGGGGTGCCTCTTACCTCACTGTTCTGCAAATTTAAAAAATTTACCTTCTAAGGTGCCCCCTTGTGGCGCTGCCCGCAGGGTATAGCCTCGCCCTTCACGGTACGACTCTAAGTCACCTGGCCCCAGATTCACGAAGCAGTTACGCAAGCACTTACGAACCTGTCCATCTTTTCTCACTCTTTGGCGGCTTTGTTTACAATTGTTAAACAGTTAATGAGCTCGGAAGCACCAGGAGGCTGTTTATAACAATAACAACAGTTGATTGGCAAGTTTTCATGCTTGTAAACTGTTTAATAAATGTAACCAAAGGTGTCAAAGATTGAGGAAAGATGTACACGTTCGTAAGTACTTGCGTAACTGCTTCGTGAATCCGGCCCCAGGTTCGTAAGTACTTGCGTAACTGCTTCGTGAATCCGGCCCAAGGTTCGTAAGTGCTTGCGTAACTGCTTCGTGAATCCGGCACCTGGTCAGTGATACGGTCCTCAAAATAAAAAAAAAAATAAAAAAATAAAAGGTGTGGTAGGAGAGTTTGGGTGGCGTGGTACTGGGTTGGGCAGAGTACCAGTCAGCTGGGCAGCAGGTAATCAACAACGTTGTTTCTCTGTCAATTGTAGACGAAATCGGAATTGTTTCCTTCCAAACCAGATATTGTCTGGGTCTTGGAGTACTGATGTAGTCTTCCTCACATTAACCGCGACGAATGGAGCTGATGGGTGCTCAGAATTGTGAGTTTTTCCGGGAACAAATCCGTGTGCGGCCAGCTAGCAATGGCGCCGGCAGCGAGTCCCCACATAGCTGTTGTGTCTGGCAGTTCGTCTCGCCTTGTCCTCAACATTTTAGCAACCCGTTCTCAGGCCAAGTCCATTCCATCCACCCGCCAAATCCCCTGATTGAATACAAAACGGTTTACACACGACTCACAACTGCTGACGTTCGAACACTTCCGGAACAAGTGCTTCACTGACGACTTGTATTCGAATCCCAACGCTGTAAATGCTTCACCCACGTACTACAAATAATCGCCAACAGAACCTAAACACCTAACCTAACCTATGCCTATATATGCACAATATGCTAATATATATTACAATATTAATTTATATTTGAGAAAATTCCCGTTTTGAATGAAGAACATGATAAAATTTCTGAACGCGTCTGTGGGGTCGACCGCTGGATGGAATGGACTTGAGTCGCGGACGGGTTGATATTGTGTTCAGTATTTTCATTACTCTGGTTTTTGGTATATATATTTTGGTCGTTTAGTTGTATATAATTTTCTTTTAACTTTTAGAATATTATTTTTTAGTGAATATATAATTGTGATGTTTATTTAATGGCTTTTAGCTAAATGTAAATATTATTTATTGTTACTGATAATGGAGTTTGGCGCTCTGAAACGTCTGATTTTTTAATGAATAGAATAGAATATATATATATTACTGCTCTTTATATAATTATAATAACAATTTGTTTTCATATACTTTTGTTTAATAACAATTCTTAAGTTTTGGAAGACAATTCTTGGTTCTTGAGTAATATTATTAAGACAACTCGACATCCCAATAGCACATCTTATCTTTATAATCTACCTAAGGTCAAAACTCCTTGTTGACATAGTGTCCCGTTTTCTGTTTTAGGTCCTCTGGTGGATTAGGGGAGGACACTTAATACGGCACTTTCTTGACGGGAAATCTTAGGAGGACGGGTTGATTATGACGAGACTCAGCCATTAACCTTCGTTTAATTTGCATACGTTTATAATCAAATAGATAATTTTAAAATACATTTAACGCTTATAACAAAATTTATCTGCGTATTAAAATGCATCAAATATAACATAAATAAATCCAACTTGAGCGCAAAATGGTTTCAGGTCATCAGAGAATTCTTATATAAATAAAACAATACCATCATTGAACCCACAAGGAAATACATACAATATTTCGATCCCATCCCGGGATCATCGTCAGACTACTGAACAGTATCCCGGGTTGGGATAGGCTCCAGCCTCACTAATATAAGAGTAAGAGAGCCCCACCCGACTATCCCAGGCGGCATAGGCGCCTATCCTCACTAATATAAGAGTAAGAGAGCCCCACCCGACTATCCCAGGCGGGATAGGCTCCAGCCTCGCTAATATAAAGAGTAAGAGAGCCCCACCCGACTATCCCAGGCGGGATAGGCTCCAGCCTCACTAATATAAAGAGTAAGAGAGCCCCACCCGACTATCCCAGGCGGGATAGGCTCCAGCCTCACTAATATAAAGAGTAAGAGAGCCCCACCCGACTATCCCAGGCGGGATAGGCTCCAGCCTCGCTAATATAAGAGTAAGAGAGCCCCTACCACACTATCCCAGGCGGGATAGGAGCCTGGGATAGGCTCCAGCCTCGCTAATATAAGAGTAAGAGAGCCCCTACCACACTATCCCAGGCGGGATAGGAGCCTGGGATAGGCTCCAGCCTCGCTAATATAAGAGTAAGAGAGCCCCCACCACACTATCCCAGGCGGGATAGGAGCCTGGGATAGGCTCCAGCCTCGCTAATATAAGAGTAAGAGAGCCCCCACCACACTATCCCAGGCGGGATAGGAGCCTGGGATAGGCTCCAGCCTCGCTAATATAAGAGTAAGAGAGCCCCCACCACACTATCCCAGGCGGGATAGGAGCCTGGGATAGGCTCCAGCCTCGCTAATATAAGAGTAAGAGAGCCCCCACCACACTATCCCAGGCGGGATAGGAGCCTGGGATAGGCTCCAGCCTCGCTAATATAAGAGTAAGAGAGCCCCCACCACACTATCCCAGGCGGGATAGGCGCCTAGCCTCGCTAATGTAAAATAGATGTTACAAATCAGCTGGTAAAATAAAAAGCTCATCAAGGTGGCAACATTGTTGACATCCCACCCGGGGCCCCTGAGTGACCCAAGACACCCGAGAGTGACCCTTAGTTATCGTGTCCGTAGAGGCCAAGGTCCCCCGGTCCGCTGCTGCGGCTTGCGCCCCTCTGGCGGGCATTACTGAGAGACAGTGGAGTAATGGACGGTGGAGGTATCTTTATGGTGGTGGGGGGGGGGAGGGGGTATCTTTATGGTGGTGGTGGGGAGGTATCTTTATGGTGGTGATGGTGGTGGGGGGGGGAGGGGTATCTTTATGGTGGTGGTGGGGGGAGGGGTATCTTTATGGTGGTGGTGGTGGTGGGGAGGTATCTTTATGGTGGTGGTGGGGGGGTATCTTTATGGTGGTGGTGGGGGGGTATCTTTATGGTGGTGGTGGGGGGGTATCTTTATGGTGGTGGTGGGGAGGGGTATCTTTATGGTGGTGGTGGGGAGGGGTATCTTTATGGTGGTGGTGGTGGTGGTGGGGAGGTATCTTTATGGTGGTGGTGGGGAGGGGTATCTTTATGGTGGTGGTGGGGAGGGGTATCTTTATGGTGGTGGTGGTGGGGAGGTATCTTTATGGTGGTGGGGGGGGAGGGGGTATCTTTATGGTGGTGGTGGGGAGGTATCTTTATGGTGGTGGTGGGGAGGTATCTTTATGGTGGTGGTGGGGGGAGGGGTATCTTTATGGTGGTGGTGGTGGTGGGGAGGTATCTTTATGGTGGTGGTGGGGGGGTATCTTTATGGTGGTGGTGGGGGGGTATCTTTATGGTGGTGGTGGGGGGTATCTTTATGGTGGTGGTGGGGAGGGGTATCTTTATGGTGGTGGTGGGGAGGGGTATCTTTATGGTGGTGGTGGGGAGGGGTATCTTTATGGTGGTGGTGGTGGTGGTGGGGAGGTATCTTTATGGTGGTGGTGGGGAGGGGTATCTTTATGGTGGTGGGGAGGGGGTATCTTTATAGTGGTGGTGGTGAGGAGGTATCTTTATGGTGGTGGTGGGGAGGAGGTATCTTTATAGTGGTGGTGGTGAGGAGGTATCTTTATGGTGGTGGTGGGGAGGGGGTATCTTTATGGTGGTGGTGGTATTGGGGAGGTATCTTTTTGGTGGTAGTGGTAATAGGGAAGTATCTTTTTGGTGCTGGTGGTAGAGGGGAAGTATCTTTTTGGTGTATAATACCACTTCTTGTACCAAACGTACCAGTACACCTAAATTTAGGTATGACAATTCCCTAACGATCCAGACATTCTAGAATGTTAAGGAATAATTACAATTACCAATCAAGAGATAATGGTAGTTAATATCACTTTATTGAACGTGATTACAACGTGTTTCAAACGGGAGTCGAACGGGTGACCTTCTGTGAGGGCCGGGGCCCGGGAGCTTGAGCTCAGGCAGAGATAGCGACGCTGTAGTTGTGGAGGAGGAAGATATACCTTGCCAAATCGCTTACGGTATCCTGGAGTTCATCTCTCCTGCGGATGCTGGCTTTGGTCTCGCACATCACAGGGAGCGACTGCAGCGCCCGCTGTGTCTCACGTAGGTTATGGCTCAGTCCCTAAGGGTGATAGTTGGGGTGTTAGAGGGGGGGGTGTGATGGGGTGTCAGTAGGGGGGTGTATAGGAGCACCAGACACCCCCAGACACCCCCTTACATAAGTAACACAAGCTTACGGAACACAATGTTACCTGAAGTAAATCTTTCTTCTCAGCTTCCGTAAGGAGCTTGAAATCTTCCTTCTCATTGTTACTATCTATCTTCTTTTTCCTGCTGCTGCTGCTGCTGTCCCCAGGAGCCTCCTGCTGCTGCTGTTCCTGCTCCAGCTGCTCCTTGCGACGGAGCAGGTAGGTAGGAACACGACCAAATGTCTGAGGGCCAGAGATAGGACACAAATATACAGTAATTGTTATGATGTGAAGAGGTCTAATGTCTGGACATTATACTGTCTAATGTCTGGACAATATACTGTCTAATGTCTGGACATTATACTGTCTAATGTCTGGACAATATACTGTCTAATGTCTGGACAATATACTGTCTAATGTCTGGACAATATACTGTCTAATGTCTGGACAATATACTGTCTAATGTCTGGACAATATACTGTCTAATGTCTGGACATTATACTGTCTAATGTCTGGACAATATACTGTCTAATGTCTGGACATTATACTGTCTAATGTCTGGACATTAAACTGTCTAATGTCTGGACATTATACTGTCTAATGTCTGGACATTATACTGTCTAATGTCTGGACAATATACTGTCTAATGTCTGGACATTATACTGTCTAATGTCTGGACATTATACCGTCCAATACTGTCTAATGACAGGTAGCCACCTGCCACAGGTAGTGGTGATAGTGGTGATAGTGGTAGTGGTGGTAAACTAACCTTCTTAAAGACATAATTGGGGTGTCGTCCAGAAGACAGCAGGTCGTACACGACCCCTTCCTTGGTGTCCACGACCCTGGCAGGGGGTCGAGGGGGGCTCAGACCCCTCACCCATCCAACGTTGGTCCTCACCCAGTCCTTACCCCGCCTGTAACACACATTTACGACTTTTAAGGGTGCCCATTTGGTGGTAAAGGCACAACATAGGATGGTTTAAGGGGTGACCATTTGGTGGTAAAGGCTCAACATAGGATGGTTTAAGGGTAACCATTTGGTGGTAAAGGCACAACATAGGTTGTTTAAGGGTGACCATTTGGTGGTAAAGGCACAACATAGGTTGTTTAAGGGTGACCATTTGGTGGTAAAGGCACAACATAGGATGTTTAATGGTGACCATTTGGTGGTAAAGGCACAGCATAGGTTGTTTAAGGGTGACCATTTGGTGGTAAAGGCACAACATAGGATGGTTTAATGGTGGCCATTTGGTGGTAAAGGCACAACATAGGATGGTTTAATGGTGACCATTTGGTGGTAAAGGCACAACATAGGTTGTTTAAGGGTGACCATTTGGTGGTAAAGGCACAACATAGGATGGTTTAATGGTGACCATTTGGTGGTAAAGGCACAACATAGGATGGTTTAATGGTGACCATTTGGTGGTAAAGGCACAACATAGGATGTTTAATGGTGACCATTTGGTGGTAAAGGCACAGCATAGGATGTTTAATGGTGACCATTTGGTGGTAAAGGCACAACATAAGATGTTTAATGGTGACCATTTGGTGGTAAAGGCACAACATAGGATGTTTAATGGTGACCATTTGGTAGTAAAGGCACAACTTAGGATGGTTTAATGGTGACCATTTGGTGGTAAAGGCACAACATAGGTTGTTTAATGGTGACCATTTGGTGGTAAAGGCACAGCATAGGATGTTTAATGGTGACCATTTGGTGGTAAAGGCACAACATAGGATGGTTTAATGGTGACCATTTGGTGGTAAAGGCACAACATAGGATGTTTAATGGTGACCATTTGGTGGTAAAGGCACAGCATAGGATGTTTAATGGTGACCATTTGGTGGTAAAGGCACAACATAGGATGGTTTAATGGTGACCATTTGGTGGTAAAGGCACAACATAGGATGTTTAATGGTGACCATTTGGTGGTAAAGGCACAGCATAGTATGTTTAATGGTGACCATTTGGTGGTAAAGGCACAACATAGGATGGTTTAATGGTGACCATTTGGTGGTAAAGGCACAACATAGGATGTTTAATGGTGACCATTTGGTGGTAAAGGCACAACATAGGTTGTTTAAGGGTGACCATTTGGTGGTAAGGGCACAACATAGGATGTTTAATGGTCAACATATGATAGTTAAAAGTTAAGGAATGATCAACTGACCTGTTGTGTCTGGCCTCTGGCGGGTATTTCACTGGTACAGGAAGACGAGGACGGCGTTCACACTCATGCTTCTGCACCTCTGTTGGTGAGTGACTGTGTTAGTCTACTACTGTTGGTGAGTGACTGTGTTAGTCTACTACTGTTAGTGAGTGACTGTGTTAGTCTACTACTGTTAGTGAGTGACTGTGTTAGTCTACTACTGTTAGTGAGTGACTGTGTTAGTCTACTACTGTTAGTGAGTGACTGTGTTAGTCTACTACTGTTGGTGAGTGACTGTGTTAGTCTACTACTGTTGGTGAGTGACTGTGTTAGTCTACTACTGTTGGTGAGTGACTGTGTTAGTCTACTACTGTTGGTGAGTGACTGTGTTAGTCTACTACTGTTAGTGAGTGACTGTGTTAGTCTACTACTGTTAGTGAGTGACTGTGTTAGTCTACTACTGTTGGTGAGTGACTGTGTTAGTCTACTACTGTTAGTGAGTGACTGTGTTAGTCTACTACTGTTAGTGAGTGACTGTGTTAGTCTACTACTGTTGGTGAGTGACTGTGTTAGTCTACTACTGTTGGTGAGTGACTGTGTTAGTCTACTACTGTTGGTGAGTGACTGTGTTAGTCTACTACTGTTGGTGAGTGACTGTGTTAGTCTACTACTGTTGGTGAGTGACTGTGTTAGTCTACTACTGTTGGTGAGTGACTGTGTTAGTCTACTACTGTTAGTGAGTGACTGTGTTAGTCTACTACTGTTAGTGAGTGACTGTGTTAGTCTACTACTGTTGGTGAGTGACTGTGTTAGTCTACTACTGTTGGTGAGTGACTGTGTTAGTCTACTACTGTTAGTGAGTGGCTGTGTTAGTCTACTACTGTTGGTGAGTGACTGTGTTAGTCTACTACTGTTGGTGAGTGGCTGTGTTAGTCTACTACTGTTGGTGAGTGACTGTGTTAGTCTACTACTGTTGGTGAGTGACTGTGTTAGTCTACTACTGTTGGTGAGTGACTGTGTTAGTCTACTACTGTTAGTGAGTGACTGTGTTAGTCTACTACTGTTAGTGACTGTATTAACCCACCAGTATTGACCTACCTGCAGCTCTGGCAAGGTTGTTGACTTTCACCGTATGCTGTGTGAGGGAACTGTGACCTCTCCTGAGGTACTGTGCTGGCGTAGTGACACAGTAGGTCACCACACCCAGAGTGGCGTGGTGATCCTGGTGCTTCCTCCTCTCCTCTCTCACTCTCTGGTGGTGAATCGACACGTGTCTGTAAGGTCAGAGGTCACCAGGTCACCACACTCTCAAGGTCAAGGGGGTCACCAGCAGGGCTATCACATTAGGCATTAATGATTAGGGGGTCCAAGATTCACCAGTTAGAGGTCAAGGGTCACCAGCAGGGTTATCACGTTAGGCATTAATGATTGGGGGGTCCAAGATTCACCAGTTAGAGGTCAACGGTCACCAGCAGGGTTATCACGTTAGGCATTAATGATTAGGGGGTCCAAGATTCACCAGTTAGAGGTCAAAGGTCACTTGTAAGCTAGAGGTCAAAGGTCGCCAATTAGGGGTCAAGGGTCATTAGTTAGAGGTCATATTCAGCAGTTAGTTTGAGGTCAAGGGTCACCAGCAAGCTAAAGGTTAAAGGTCGCCAGTTAAGGGTCAATGATCATTAGTTTGAGGCCAAGATTCAGCAGTTAGTTTGAGGTCAAGGGTCATGAATGATTCAGGGGTCAAGAGTCACTAGTCAGAGGTCAATATTCTCCTCTGAAGGATGGTCAATCTTGGGTCCTGTGAGGTACTGTTTCAAATTGTTCAAATTGTGTTCAAATTTGTGTTTCAAAGTGTGTTCAAAGTTGTTCAAATTGTGTGAGGAGGGGTCCTGTTTAAACCAGGGGTCCTGTTTAAACCAGGGGTCTTGTTTAAACCAGAGGTCCTGTTTAAACCAGGGGTCCTGTTTAAACCAGGGGTCTTGTTTAAACCAGGGGTCCTGTTTAAACCAGGGGTCCTGTTTAAACCAGGGGTCCTGTTTAAACCAGGGGTCTTGTTTAAACCAGGGGTCCTGTTTAAACCAGGGGTCCTGTTTAAACCAGAGGTCCTGTTTAAACCAGGGGTCCTGTTTAAACCAGGGGTCTTGTTTAAACCAGGGGTCCTGTTTAAACCAGGGGTCCTGTTTAAACCAGGGGTCCTGTTTAAACCAGGGGTCCTGTTTAAACCAGGGGTCCTGTGTAAACCAGTCCTCGGAGTCTAATTGCTACCGCACACAAACACGATAATTAAAGTGTGCAACATTTAGAGGTTGACCGGTCGTGAATGGTTGCAATAGTGACCGTCATTAATATATGATCTTCTTTATATGTTAGTATCGCAGCTTCTACCACCACTACCACACTCTACTACCACCACTACCACACTCTACTACCACCAGCACCACACTTTACTACCACCACACTACTACCATACTTAACTACCACCACTATACTCACCTTTTTTCTTTCTTGAAGATGATTGGTCGACGAGGCAGCAAGTTTCTGATGTTCTCCTGTTCTGCCATTCTTTAATGTGTGTGTAATTACCTAAGTGTAGTTACAGGATGAGCTACGCTCGTGGTGTCCCGTCTTCCCAGCACTCTTTGTCATGTGTGTGTGTGTGTGTGTGTGTGTGTGTGTGTGTGTGTGTGTGTGTGTGTGTGTGTGTGTGTGTGTGTGTGTGTGTGTACTCACCTAATTGTACTCACCTAATTGTGTGTGTGTGTGTGTGTGTGTGTGTGTGTGTGTGTGTGTGTGTGTGTGTGTGTGTGTGTGTGTGTGTGTGTGTGTGTGTGTGTGTGGGAGGGCCAATCAGATCACCTGAGCCCGCTCGTGACGGCACCAACAGTCTAGTTGATCAACAAAATCTTTAAGTTCGCCACCATCTGAGTTCTACATTAAAAACTCCACCAGGAATTATATACACCGTATATGGTACGTATACACCGTGGTCCAGACGCCTGTATTATGTATGCTTCAGTAATATTTGATCAGTATAGACTGAGTGAAATCTTGTATACATAAGTCAGCTGTTGTTATCACGTTGCCATGGTTACCGCGTCTCCGCGTTGCTATGGTTACCGCGTCTCCGCTTTGCTATGGTTACCGCGTCTGCGCGTTGCTATGGTTACTGCGTCATGATGTCGCTAGACGAAATTTGACTGCGCAAGTTTAGTCCTGTTAAATAATGGTTCCCATAAACAATTAACTTATTTATTTTTTATAAAAGGAGAACGTAAGAATATTACCAAGTTCATAAATAAGTATAATGAGAGAGCAACGTTTATATCGGCCATCGATAAGTAATTAATGACGTTTTATTTTAACTACATATATATATATATATATATTATATTTGTTTAAATGTTTAGAAAAAGTGATATTTAAAAACTTGTGTAAATAATTTACATTCACCACAAATTTATTATTCCCGAGTCTGAGTCTAAAAATAAACATTGTGTCAGAAGAACCAGGCAAGAGTTTTAAGCAAAAAATAAATGAAAATAGTCGGCAACTGCCCGCGGGCGGAACACTTGTGACGTCATCAGTGTATTCCCGCCTCTCATCCGGGAAGGTTGTCAGACACCGCCTGCTCCAGGCCACCTTCTGCAGTGTGTAATAGCGCCGAACTAATTGTTGTAAGTGAGCATTATATTATTATTATTATATTATATATTATATTATTATTAGTGAGCATTATATATTATTCTTATGTAAATGATTACAGGATTAAGAAGTAGAGTTGGCTTCGTTCTCGTCTCACAATTGGGGGATCCCGGGTTCGATTCCCACGTGGGGAGAGAAATGGTTGGACACGTTTCCTGGTCCCCAGGAAGCAGCTGTTTAACTCCCAGGTACCTATTTACTGCTAGGTGAACAGGAAAATCAGAGTGAAAGAAACTGCCCCATTCGTTTCCGCCTCTGCCGGGACTATGAACCCCGAGCGTTGTCCACTCAGCCGTCAAGCTTCCCCGAGGTAGGGTGGATTCCCTCTTATAGGGACACAGGTGAGAGTTTGAGACGACGGAACAGGTTGGGCAGCTGGCAGGTGTGAGTAATACCTGACTACACCGCAAGCTGACCTTTGACCTTCCGGGTTGGTGTGGGGGGGGGGGTGCTGGGGCCCGGTACTGGGGGGGGAGGGGGGGGAGGGGGGGTGAAGGTTGCTCACCTAGTTGTACTCACCTAGTGAACAAATCCACAAGGGCCGTGACGAGGATTCGAACCTGCGTCCGGGAGCATCCCAGACACTGCCTTACTCACCTAGTTCTACAAGTGAGGGATGAGCTTCAGCTCTGGTCCCCCGGCCTCACAGCCTTCAGTAAGTGATGGTTCATGTCGTGAACATGTCTCCTCCCCGGCTGGAGGAGTCCGCCTCCACCACCCACCTGCCTTAGCGCGGGTAATTTACCCCCGTCAAGGTCTTCAACAACCTCCCCAGATGAACAAATCCACAAGGGCCGTGACGAGGATTCGAACCTACATCCGAGAGCATCCCAGACGCTGCCTTAGTCGACTGAGCTACGACATGGTCAAAAGAATTGCAACCGGAAGTTCTAGTAACCTTCCTCTTCAGGTATCTTCTTGAGGTTATCTTGAGATGATTTCGGGGTTTTAGTGTCCCCGCGGCCCGGTCATCGACCAGGCCTCCACCCCCAGGAAGCAGCCCGTGACAGCTGACTAACACCCAGGTACCTATTTACTGCTAGGTAACAGGGGCATAGGGTGAAACCTCAAGGCAATTTACCTCAGGGGTCACCATCTCCCTAGTGACCCTGACGAGGACAGGAAGCCGTCGGGTTGTCGAAGTTCCAACCCCCCCCCTTCCTTCATTTGTCCTACTGAGCTGGGTTTAAAAATTTCAGAAGCATTTTGGCATTTTCGGCTTCAGCGGGTAGGCGGCTCCGCGACCTTACTGTTACGATAGAGAAGATGTTGAACAAGTTAGAGTGGTGACATGGTTGATATGTAACCTTTAAGGTGAAGACACTTACCACCCTGTTACCTAGCAGTAAAATAGGTACCTGTGAGTTAGTCAGTTGTCACGGGCTGCTTCCTGGGGGTGGAGGCCTTGTCGAGGACCGGGCCGCGGGGACACTAAAGCCCCGAAATCATCTCAAGATAACCATCTATATAATGGCCTCGATGGGGACAGGAAGCCGGCGGCTGGTCAAAGCTCTCCGAATTTTTCTTAGGAATTAATTTTTGTCAGTAGCTATATGTAGCATTCCGGGGCTTAGCGTCCCCGCGGCCCGGTCCTCTGACCAGGCCTCCCTTTTTGACACACCCCCTCCCCAGGAAGCAGCCCGTAGCAGCTGTCTAACTCCCAGGTACCTATTTACTGTTAGGTGCACAGAGGCATCAGGGTAAAAGAAACTCTGCCCATTTGTTTCCGCCTCCACAGGAACTCGAACCCGGAAACTTAAAGGACTACGAACCCCGAACGCTGTCCACTCAGCCGTCAAGGCCCTGGGCCCTTCTTCCTGCTATTCTGCCCGAAACGCTTTGCGTAATAGTGGCTTTAGGCATTGTATGTACTAGCTCTATCTATAAAGCCAACAAACTTTGTAAAATCTCTTTATGTATGTACCTTTGCCTAAATAAAAATTATTATTATTATTATTATTATTATTTTGAGGAGGGAGGGGGGGGGGAGGCTAGAGAGGGGAGGGGGAGAGACTAGTGAGGGGAGAAGGGGGAGACTAGCAAGGGGAGGGAGGGGGTGGATAGAGGATAGGGGGGACAAACAAAGCTACAGTAGTGTGGGATGTAAATCCCACACTGCCAAACCCTTACAATCCAACAAATATTACTTTATTTCAAAATCCCGTTGGATAAAACCCTCAGACGCAACGAAGGAGGGAACCTTTGACAACCGGCTAGCTTTCTGTCCCTATCGGAGCCCCATGAGACATGAAGGGAAGCCCCCCTTCAGGTAAATTCAGGTAAAATTCCGGGGGTGCCGGGTGCCCACTGGCCGTCCCTGACCTCCGCCGGAGAAAAAGCGACCCAAACACCGCCACTGTTGATTGGTCTCGAGACTTCGGTCGATTCTCGTAAGATTTTCTCCCTTTTCCCCCATTTCTTGAGGTTTAAAAGCCATAAAAACGTTGTAATATTGCCGTCATTATTCAGTTGTTGCCAGGAGGGGCACTCAGGGAGTTCTGAGCGGGAACTCAGAGGCTGTAGAGGTGAAATAAGGTGGCCAATCAGGGCTGGGTTTACAGGTGTGTGAGTATCATTACTGAAGCATGCAGCTTTGGCGCCAGGTTTGTACGGTGTTGGGGGGAGCTGCCACCAGTACTGCTGATGCTGGCCAGGTGTGTGGGACCAGCTGTGGCCAGGGATGCTGGCCAGGTGTGTGAGCCAGCTGTGACAAGACTACTAGCCAGGTGTGTGGGCCAGCTGGCAGGTGTGTGGGCCAGCTGTGACAAGACTACTAGCCAGGTGTGTTGGCCAGCTGTGGCCAGACAATACTGGCCAGGTGTGTGGGCCAGCTGTGGCCAATAATACTGGTCAGGTGTGTGAGTCAGTTATCTCAAGATATCAAGGGTCCCGGTAGTACAGTTGGCTCCGAGAAATTCGGGTTTGGGGGAACAGGATGAGAGCTTCCTGTTCCCCCAAGAGAATTACATAAGTGTAGTTACAGGATGAGAGAGTAACTCATCCTGTAACTAAGGTAATTACACACACATACAGGCTACCTGCCCCCTGACAAAATGAATTATATTATGGGAAGATATTCTATGCAGAGATGTAGACATGCCGTATTGAAATTGTCTGCAAAATATGAATTAGATACAGTATTTTTTATCTTTTTAGCTTGGTTAGGGTTAAATAATGTACCAAATTTTATTGCTTTTGGAAGGTTGTTCTGTTTTAATTGCGTTGGACTCTGGGAATATCAGAAATGTATAATTGTGGATTACTGTGCAAATCTGCTTCATTGAGAATTGTACGACAGCTTATTTTCTCATAAACATGTATAATATAATAGTCATTGTCATTTCAGACTTAAAACACAATGACAAGAATCTACAGAGTGCCGGTGTATTTGTTGTTATGGACGTGTGCTCTTGGCGCCGCAGGGTTCCCGTGGCACGAGCTGCAGCTGGCCCCCGAGCATGTGGCATTCTTCTTCAACAGTAACCGGCACCTTGCCGAAGAGTGCCGCAGGAGCTCTTCCTGCCCGTTCAAAGTAAGCATTTATATGGATCACTGTTATCTCTTAGAATACAGTACTACTTTAATTTCAAATAATTTTTCATACATTACCATAGAAGTACTCATCGTGATTAAAGGGAAAATAAGATTTAAAAACTGTTTAAAACGTTCTATGGCATTCATCATCATCATGATGAGTTAGTTTGGTATCATAATAGTTTGATATTGTTAACTATAGTGCACAATACATTGGAATTTTGCAGCACAACTACTGTCTTTAGATGGTGTCAGAGATGCCGCTGACTTAATAGCATTGATTTCAATAATTGATTTAATAGCATATTCTACGGGATAACTTGCATGAATGTTGCTTAAGAAAGGGAAAGTCTTTTACAATCCAGTTTATTGTGTTGATTATCGAGCTCTGGCAGCTGACATGCCAGGGGGGGAGGGCTTAGTGTTGTTGCCATCTAAAGAGCAGACTTTATAGTGTTTAATATACAAGTTTATATGAATAATCATGCTTAAAATATGATGACCAATCCACACACTAGAAAATGAAGGGATGACGACGTTTCGGTCTGTCCTGGACCATTCTCAAGTCGATTGTGACTTGACTTGAGAATGGTCCAGGATCGACCCACAATGGACTTGAGAATGGTCCAGGACGGACCGAAACGTCGTCGTCCCTTCATTTTCTAGTGTGTGGATTGGTCAACATACTTCAGCCACGTTATTGTGACTCATCGCCTGTAAAATATGATATAATATAAGAAGCGTCATTGAATACTCCTCGTGTGGCAGATGCATCTTGACCGAACCGCTTGCTGGGGATACGAGGAGGGTTGCACTAGTGATTACGCATACAGTCAGCCTTCATGTCCTGGCGATTCCAAAGGTTGGTAGAAGTGACCATGAATGTTGTGCTGTTGGATGATGTGCCTCTTTGTTTCTATGTTGTCAGTACAGGTATATGATGTTTCAAAGGTTTTTATGAAGCTATCACTTTCGGCCACTCCCCAAAGTAAGGTACCCCCAATTTCTTGGACAGGATTGCATCCAATAGAGCAGGAATAGCATACAGCATGGTCCTACAGGGAATTTTTTAATGTATCTATAGGGTCATATAACCTAAGTGCTAGGGAGTCAGTGGAGAATACTCAGTCCAGCTCAGCCCAGGACTATTAGCAGAGGTCAATCCATACTAAGTGAAAAGCCTGGGGCCAGATTCACGAAGCAGTTATGCAAATACTTACGTATGTGTACATCTTTCCTCAATCTTTGACGGCTTTGGTTACATTTATTAAACAGTTCTTATTTATTAAACATTTGTGTTCATTAAGAACACAAATGTTCTTTGTGTTCATAGGTACTGTATTTGTTGCACTGCTGTGGTCATAATGTCCATCATATTCTTAGGTGCTGTATTTGTTGTTCATGGTTTTCATCCTATTGTTCTTTGTATTCTTAGGTACTGTATTTGTTGCCTGTTGTGGTTGTTGTCCTAATGGTCTTCATGTTCTCAAGTACTATATTTGTTACTCGCCTGTTGTGTGAGTTGTCCAAATGTACTTTATATCCTTTAATGTAGTGTTTGCTGAAAGTGGCCTGTTGTGTGAGTTGTCCAAATGTACTTTATATCCTTTAATGTAGTGTTTGCTGAAAGTGACCTGTTGTGTGAGTTGCCCAAATGTACTTTATATCCTTTAATGTAGTGTTTGCTGAAAGTGACCTGTTGTGTGAGTTGTCCAAATGTACTTTATATCCTTTAATGTAGTGTTTGCTGAAAGTGACCTGTTGTGTGAGTTGCCCAAATGTACTTTATATCCTTTAATGTAGTGTTTGCTGAAAGTGACCTGTTGTGTGAGTTGCCCAAATGTACTTTATATCCTTTAATGTAGTATTTGCTGAAAGTGGCTAATATTTCAGGACAAATTTCAGGTTGGGTGCAAACCAAACATGAACAAATACATACATTTAAGCAGCAAGGAGACTTCGGTTACGTGAAAGAGCAGCGAGAGCAGCTGAAAGTTTACTGCAGACCCGAGGAAGAGGTGAGGTTACGTTCCAAGTTTGCTTGGAGCGCGTTCTGCTGCGTGCAGCCGTGCCTTTTGTTGTAGTATCTCTTTGTTTATGTTTATTATCAAGATGCGTCATTGTGGTTCATGAGCAGTATTTAAATCAAATATCATTTTCAACAATGCTTATCGTATTTTCCGGAATATAATGCCTAGTTTATAGGGCTATTATGTAGAATATAACACCTAGTTTACAAGCTATTTTGTAGAAAAAACAGTATTAGTACATTTTGTCATCCATTTATTGAAAGTTATCTTCAAGTTGTTTTCTATGGAGAAAACGTATGATTTTGTGTACGTAAATACCAGTACTGTACAGTACAATATATGTTGCGCTGGCGGTGAAGAAAAACATGTGTCTTATCTGCCAGTAAATACGATACAGTACGGTATATGATTGATATTTTAGATACTTATTTCATTTAAAGTAACATGGAAAACGAACCATAAATCACCCAACTAAATGCTCTGACCTGAAAATACTAATCCCCCAAAAATCAATACTGTATACAGTCGATTCCCAGTTGTATATGACACTATCACAATTCTTGCCAAATAAATTACGATATAAAAATTTATATAACTACTGTACGGTACAGGGAATTGGTTTTATGCAGTCAGTTATTGGGTGAAATAACATATATTCTCTCTGAAAATATAGAAAAGTGTTACGATGATCAAATACTGAAAGTTATTGGTAATGAAGCATGGAGGGGGGGGGGGGGACTGGAAAGTGCCCGGGAAGGGGGGGGGTTAAAAGCAAGTGCCATTCTCAGTGCCTCAAAACTGCTTAAACAATAATTGTTTTACTATTCTGTGCTGTATATATATAAAAAATTTAAAATAATATGGACAACATGACATTAAATTTTGTGTTTTGCTTTGTGCTGACATACCTTAACATTTGACAGTACAGTACAGACACATTGTGATATTTTATGTAATCAAATTCTTAATTTTGAAACGTGTCATATTTTCCAGAAAGGTTCTTAACAAAAAAATGTAAACAACTTGTATTTATGCAAAGTACAGTACTGTATCTGGGTGTTTCTAATTCAATCCTAGGACTTGACAAATACAGTACAGTATTAGGAAGGGTTACCATATTTTTTATTCAATCTAGGACTCTTGCAAGTCTTATGAGAAAAGGCTGATTCTAATTCGAGTTGTTGGTTTCCAGGGAGACTCTTCTCTCGAGTGCACCGACCACCTCCAGTTTTGCCGGGGAAAAAATATTTATATCGATTTTCGACCTCTGAAACACCGAAAAGAGATCGTTCATTATCATATGGACGTGTTGGACACTGGCCAGATTGGGGGCCATTGCCGGTAAGTGTTCGGTGTGTTGTTGATATCTGGATAACCTCTCTACCAGGGTAATGTCTATCTGTCCACCAGGGTAACGTGTATCTGTCCACCAGGGTAATGTCTATCTGTCCACCAGGGTAACGTGTATCTGTCCACCAGGGTAATGTCTATCTGTCCATCTGCTCAGTAATGAATGTGATGAAAACAGAAGGAAAGAACATAACATAATGCATTCTCGCTCATTTCAGATTAGATAAAAAACTTCTAGCAAAAAATGCCGTCCAAATTAGCCCCCTGCAGTCATGGGGACCAGAGATCCGTCACTTCACTGAGCAAGAGGAGCAAGTGGAGCCGAGGGGAAAAATGTGTGACCGCTGGGTTGACACACCAACGTTTATCATGAAATTAGATGCAAGTAAGCACGGCACATGTGTGTGTGTAGGGCAAGGGCATTAGTGTTTATCCTTTTATTTAAAAGTTACCATCTTGCGCTAATACGTGAGCGAGTAAGTAGACGATTCGCAGTGTGACTCCTTCCAGAGTTTCGGACAAGGAACTCAGCAGTATGATCATACTTCCTTTTATTTTTTTTATCCTTTTATTTAAAAGTCCAATGTTTTGGTGTACTGTACATGACAAAAAAATATTTCACATAACAAAATGTCGCGATTGGAGTACGGGAGGTAATTGCTGATTGCAATTGGAACCTATTTTAAGAGTTAATGACCAGTTTCTTCTGGTAATTTGTTTGACCTTATAATTCTGTTTCTTTTTTGTCTCGGTAGATTTATCATAAAATATCAAATTTGATAATATCACAGGATAAATGTCATCTTGCATGGTGTCTGCAAGGGGGTGAATATAATGCTTAGTGATGTCTGTGGACTGAGTATCAGGTTTACTAATGTTTATCTAATTATTATTGATGTCTACCATTGAATATTATATTTATGCAGACTACTTGTCATGCTTTATGGTGCCTTCTGACAGAATTACATTTGTTTTGGTTAATATTGGTCTCAATTGTAGAGTTTGGGGGATATTCTATATATTGAGTATGTATATATGTTAATGCTGTTAACTCTTAGATTGTGCAGCTGTGAACATGTATCACCTGAGTATGTATATGTGTTAATGATGTTAACTATTACATTGTGCAGCTGTGAACATGTATCACCACTTCTGTGACTTCTTCAACCTCTACGCCTCCCAACACCTCAACAGTTCTGACGAGTTTGCATTTTCCCGCAACACTCAGGTAAGGCGGAGCTCGGGACATTTGCTTCATTTTGAATTTATTCATTGTTTGAAATTATCATCCATATCCTCACTGAGAACTCTATGAAATCTTAATCCTGAGGGTTGAATGGAGCTACAATATGAATGGAACCTATAATAGTTATAGTATTTTCTGCATATTTTCTTATGTAAAAAAACACACTTAATTTATAAGGATACTTTGTGAAAAAAAGAATTTGAGTGTGTTTCATCATTCTTTTCTGGGGAGTCACAAGAGGCTCCCTGAAGCTATTATTTCTGACTAGGTGTGCCATACACCTAGTCCCATCAGTCGCAGAATTCTGCTGGCTTACTTGGGACCACAAGCCACAATCTAGCCCCCCCCCTTCCTCCCCATCCCTCACAGTGGTGCAAGGTGCGGTGGCACTTATGGTAAAATTGTCAGTAATTTATTCATGGCTTATTTAATGGCTTGTGGTCCCCAGTAGGACAATAGTTGGAAGTAGTTGGAAGCCAGAGGCTTCCTACCAGTTATGGTTGGTTGGTTACATTTATCTGTGCAAAAGCTGTGACTACATTTGCCACAGGCATAGCAAGGAGGACATTCAAATGTTTGCTGATATGCTTCTGAAAATGTTGATTTTTCTGATACAGGGAAGTATTTGTGACATTTTTTAATGCATTTGCAGATCCTGATTTGGGAGACGCTGCCTTATCGGTCCAACTTTGGTGTAGCTTTTGATGCTTTCACGAAGAATCCCGTGTGGATCCTCGACAATGTATCAGGTAGCAAGAAGAGATATACACAGTCCTATATATATATATATATATATATATATATATATATGTCGTACCTAGTAGCCAGAACGCACTTCTCGGCCTACTATTCAAGGCCCGATTTGCCTAATAAGCCAAGTTTTCCTGAATTCATATATTTTCTCTATTTTTTTTCTTATGAAATGATAAAGCTACCCATTTCATTATGTATGAGGTCAATTTTTTTTTATTGGAGTTAAAATTAACATAGATATCGGACCGAACCTAACCAGCCCTACCTAACCTAACCTAACCTATCTTTATTGGTTAGGTTGGGTTAGGTAGCCGAAAAAGTTAGGTTAGGTTAGGGTAGGTAGGTTAGGTTGTCGAAAAACAATTAATTCGTGAAAACTTGGCTTATTAGGCAAATCGGGCCTTGCATAGTAGGCTGAAAAGTGCGTTCTGGCTACTAGGTACGACATATATATATATATATATATATATATATATATATATATATATATATTTTATTAAATATGACCGAAAAAGTAAGATTAATAATTCTAACACGAATTTTCTCAATCTTTCGTACATTATGCTTCACTGTTGGAGGTAAATCATATTGTCAATTGTTGTTAATAAATATTCAATTTATTAAATTGTCATATTTAATAAAATATGTCTACAGGAAAGACTGCTACCAAAATATACTAATATATATATATATATATATATATATATATATATATATATATATATATATATTTATATATATATATATTATATACTGATGCAGCAACTTTAATGATACCTTAGTTAGTTCAGCCAACTAACAGAATTGTCACTTATTGATACTCTAATTGTTAACATACACATATTGTCTTTTATTTAATAACATTGTATATTAATTCTCGAGGTAGATTACATTCGATGAAGCGTTTGATTGCTTAAAAAACGACAAATGAACAAACCATCTATTTATTATTTATTCATTTATTAAGACCTATTTCACTTTGAAAGTAAATCTATTGCATTTTCTTTTATAATGTGTAATGGTGTGTTGGCAGGTTATTGAAGATGTACTAATTGCCTGGTTTTGTCTTCAGGTGACCGCGTTTGCTTTAAGGATGTAGTCTTTCCGTTACTCCCTCGGATGATCTTCGGGCTCTACTACAATACTCCAATTGTATGAACTTTGTTCTCTTGTAATGACGTCGACTCAACTAAGTGCAGCTTTAGGTTTTTTGTTTATATATTTTTTTATCTAATAATTTTTTATTGTATCGAGTGTAGAATGTGGCGATTCCGCCACCGCAACCCCTCCTCCTCGGCAGTAAGAACATAAGAATAAAGGGAATTGCAGAATGCCTATTGTCCCATATGAGCCAGCAACCATTGGCCAATACAAAATGGTATCTATTGGCCCATATGAGGCAGCTCCCATTAGCCCATACGAGGCAGCTCCTATTAGCCCATACGAGGCAGCTCCTATTAGCCCATACGAGGCAGCTCCTATTAGCCCATATGAGACAGCTTCTATTTGTGTACAACACCTCCCTGGAGATGCCAAATTTCTTTTCTCCCCACAAATGTCACACCGAATCTCTCAGGTCTGGAGATCGTGCCTACCTGGCTCCCAGAAAGCACAGGCAGTCATATATGCTTGATAAATGTACCAGCAATAGATAAGGAATAGAGAGTTGGATGTGGCTAAAGTTTATAGAGAAAATTCTATACATTGTTTCCGCTAAAAGAAACTGAGAGGAGGGGAGAATATAGAATGAGCTGGTGAGAAGACATGTTTTTATGTGCCAATTTTATGAGTGTGTGTGTGTATTTCTTTTCCAATAGAAATTTATCAACAATATCTTGTTCTGTTTGCAGATATGGGGATGTGAGAAAAGTGGTTTATTTCATGCATTTTCTCACCATCTTCTCCACCGCTTGGGTGTTAAGAAAAGGTCTGTAGGTGATCAAAAAATACACGTGACACTCCTCTCCCGGGACACCGAGTTCCGACGCATACTCAATGAGGAACAACTTGTCGAGGCTTTGAGAGGTGATAGAACTTTCATATTGCGCAAGGTGAGTTGTGAGTCTCCTTAATGTATTGATAGAAGCATGTCAATGTTAATTATAGGGCAAGATGCTAAAATATGAGAAAATGTTGAAGCCGTACCATGGGATTGAACCTACATTTCTGAACTCAACGTGATTCCACTGCACGGCTTCAATATTTACTCATAGATAGATATGTAATATATCGGAAGAAAATACGGTGAAGATACTTGAGTAACCAGAGGTGAAACTGCACTCATTCTCAAGGAAAACGAGACGATTGTTATAAGTGCTCTCACAGCAGGTCTGAATACAACAGAAAAAATTTGCATAAACTTGTTTGTGTAACTTATAGTACAGTACACGTTAAGTCAAACATTTCTGTAATTTAATTGCATTACAGTGTGTTGAATAATACTGTATTTACAAATAAAAATTAAAATTAGCCAAAATAACAAAAATCACAGCTTGATGGAAATTACCTATCGGATTTTGCCGCATCTCTTTATAGAATAAATTTGTTTATATCTACTGATTTTCAAAAAGGAAATCCAGTTGGCAAATTTGATCCGTGATTTAGAGGTCTTATATGTGGAGGTCCAGGCTTTCAAGGATGTAATGTATAATATAACATAATACGGAAAAATACAATAACTCTATGAAAAAAGCTTTGCAGCGGGGCAGAGGAATTAAACCTTGGTTCGTGGTCATCTCAGACACACGTATTGTCCATTGGACCATGATGTGCTCCAAAATAATATGACTGTTGTGATCTCATTGTGTACAGTACGTCCAACATGACATATAATGTGACTTGGTACTTATAAATATGTCTGTCTGTTCTCGGGTGAAGAACATATGACTGTTGTGACCTCATTGTGTACTGTACGTCCAACATGACAAATAATGTGACTTGGTACTTATAAATATGTCTGTCTGTTCTCGGGTGAAGAACATATGACTGTTGTGACCTCATTGTGTACTGTACGTCCAACGTGACAAATAATGTGACTTGATACTTATAAATATGTCCGTCTGTTCTCGGGTGAAGAACATTATAATGGTATTTTGGCAGGTGAAGTACAGTCACAGGATGGACTTCCGGCAGCAGCTGCGGCAAGACCAGTGGACAGACATCTTCATCGGCATGCATGGTGCCGGCCTCACTCATCTCCTCTTCCTGCCAGACTGGGCTGTCATTTTTGAACTGTAAGATTCTCTCAGATCATTTGAATTCTGTCTGTTTATCAGCTTCACTCACGTTCCCAACTGCAGTGAATTCCTGCTTGAATGAAGCGTTTGGTTTGAAAACTCATTGGCACATACAATTTTCATAATTTATTGCAAAATTGTTGTTTTTTATTAATGCAAGAAAGACTCCCTGGCCCTATATACACTGAGCAACCATTGAGACATTATGCAACCATAGCGGGCATACTCCCACTATCAAGTTAGTACACTGTGTATTTGTACACGTTCTACGTGTGCCTGGTAGACCTCATTACCAAAAAAGACATACAAGGATTGTTTTGAATATTATGATTAATGTTTGCATTTTTAGCATAATTTTAAGGTTAGCAAAATATAGTTTAATTAAATGTGTTAAATTTATATTTACTGGATACAATTAAAAAGTGATAACTATACAGGTACAACTGTTTTGATCCAAACTGCTACAAGGACTTGGCTCGGCTGCGAGGGATCAAGTACATAACATGGGAGAACAGCACCCTCCTCAAGCCTCAGGATGAGGTACAGTAATGAATATTCGTTTGATTGTTTTTAGCTCTATTATTCATCTACTCCCTCGTATATGATTCCACTGTATTTTTGGACACATGCTGTTTAGTCGGCATGGAGCCGCAGAGAATTTGTTAAACTTTAGTTTCATAATGTTCCGAGGGAGTCCATAGAGAAGTTAATAAATTCAGTCGTTCACAAGTCGGCAGAAGGTGACAGCACCATGGCCAGCACCAGGTCCACTGACTCAAGGCACCTCTCATCCTCCCTGACTTGCCCTGGGGTGTGTTCTTCACGCCAATAGTCACCTAAGTGAATTGGTTTTCATCCTTGAAAGACAGATTCTTGCATGCTGTCGGCCATATATATCTTTGTGTTGCTCTTACATTAGTATAGATTTACATTGCTTCATGTATGTGTGAGTAATAGTCTTCACACATGTCTGATTTCCTCTGGACTATTCTTTTTAGTTTAATGCTGGTGTACACAGCTGTGATATTTTCTTTCTCGACTCTTCCCGTTGCCGTCATAGCAATCTGGTGCTGTGTTTAGGGCCATAGTTCTTTGTATCTGTGTGCTGGGTACAGTAACTATATCTGTTCCCTCCCATATTAGGTATGGGCATTGTCTGATACCCACTACATGCTTCTGTCTGATGGCAGTTACATGCAGCAGCAGCAGCCAGGTGCAGTAATCAACACCGTGCTAGAATGCTACTTAGAAGTCCTTGGCTTTCGTATTAGTTTTTTGGTAGAATTAATTTGTTTAAATGTGCCTTCTGGTGGTCAGTTCCAGTCTGAATGAAATATTTTCCCATGGTTGTCAGCGGGAATAATTAGAAGAGACATGTGCTGCACGGATGATGTTGACCTACCCTGACTATGCATTACCAGTCCTGGGGTCCAGAGATTGTTATCCTTAGGGAGCAACTGAGCAACTTGCTGAGAAAAGTGTTTGATTTTACTCAAAGTCTGATTTATTTTTGTCTGGATTAGGTTCTCAGTAAAGGCAAGTTGGCCACTCGCCATACATGGAATGGACCAGAGACCAAGCTGTAACCTCATAATTGGGATGGCTGGATGGATGCCTTACGAGTGCCTGATTGATAACCCACTGTAGCAAAGGCTTCATTCTTGACTCGTACTTGGGGATTCCGGGTTCGATTCGCAGGCGGGACAGTAATGTTGGACATGTTTCCTTTCACCTTATGACTCTGTTCACCTAGCAGTAAATAGGTACCCGGGAGTTAGCCAACTGTTGTGGGGGTTGCATCCTGGAAAAGGGTCAGTAGTTCGACCTATAAGGGGGGGTACTACGATACAAGCCTAAAGTTTATTCTGTTTATTATTATTGTTATTATTATTATTATTATTATAAAACTTGGAAGCCAGAGTGGGTAATTTATTATTGATCATAAATATAATAAAGAGAAAGTGTGGTGCTTCTGAGCACAGTATAAGGTATAGAAACCCTTGTTTACTTCTCTTAATTAATATTGTAAGCAAATTATTTTTTTAATTTTGCAGGGAACGCATCCCGATGGAGGACCACATGAAAAGTTTACCAATTATGAGTTTGACGTGAAAGAGTTTATGAGGCTGGTGCGGAAAGGGGCAGAACACGTCAAGAACCACCGAGGATGGCAGAACATTCAGGAACACTTGAGAAATACCCAGAAGCACGAGGAGCTATGAATGTTTCAAATTTGCCGGGTGTGATCTCTAAATAAATTTGAAGTTACTGCTTTCCCACATTATTGCAAGAGGGCTTGTGGGCCGTGTGCTTGCGTGTCCTCACTGACCTGTGCCTTGTGTATATTATTACCACTTTTCAGTAGCCATAATTTGTACAAATTTGTAAAATGCATAAAAGGTACAAATTTTTTACTATCTTGATTTTTGTTTTTTAATTATTAAAACAAGTGTTTCATAAATTGTTTGTAATGTTTTAATGTTGTGTAAGGCTGCAGTGATGTTGATGCTGACAGTCAGTCAATAACCATACTATACAGATGTGCAGAGGTCCCAGAAACATTTCTACTACTCGGGAAAGAAGGCGGTACAAAAAACTTGCAATAATGTGTGGTTCAAGTGGCAGTACCAGAAGACGAAGAACAGAAACAAAGAGGCATGGAAATGATATAGAAGATATAAGAGGCAAAGCACAGAGGCAAACAGTCAGGCAGGAACGAGTATACTGGAGTCCGGATGGAAGTGTCTTGAAAATGACATAGCAGCAAAAATAAGACCAACCCAAGCTACTGTACTCACCTAGTTGTACTCTCCTATTTCTGCTTATGGGGGTTGAGCTCTGGCATTTTGGTCTCTTTAGTCTACATTTGAAACTGTGTATGGAGTCTGCCTCCACCACATTACTTCCCGCCTGCATCACTGTTAAACACACGACTTGATAATGGTTCAGGATGGACTGAAACATCACCACTTCTTTAATTTTCAGATGTATGGATTGGGTGTCTAACATAAGGAGGAAATCCCTGTTGAAAATGTTTCTACGAGTTGTGATGCCCAAGCCACATGGCGGAAAATGAAGAGATGATGATGTTTCAGTCTGTCCTGGACCATTATCAAGTCATCAGTTGGTGTACGGGTTTTTTATATTCTGAGCAGGGGATTTCTCTAACCTTTTGGTAGCTTGTCTGGTTATAATTTCATCACAAATCTTGCATCTGTCTATGCTTTAAGCTTTCCAAAATGTTATCCTTCAGCAGTTTGAAGCTTGATGCAGATAGACTTGTACCGATCTAAAATGCAACTTCTTGTGGATAAGCTTTTACAGGTTTTAATAGATAATGAATCCTAATATAGTACATACTGTATATAAATGTGAAAGTTAGATAATGTACTGTATTGGTGAATTTATACTGGCCTTTTTTTTAACAAGTGTAAAGATTTATTAATGGTAGAGTACGAGCATTTTGTGAAGCCCTACACTAGGCCCAAGCTCTACACTACACTTGGCTGTACATTACTGTGATAATGGACATACTTGTGATGTCATGAGTTAAGACACGGTGTTTTACATTGTGTCCAAAGGTTTAGGAAAGACAGTTTTCCCTTGCAAATACAATAATAGCATTTACAGGTGTGTGTGTGTGCTTTAAGTTGGGTTTGAAAATATTTATAAGCATTAGTATTTTTATATCAAGAAGCATAGTAAACCTCAAAACTTTGTGTACCATTGATTTTAAAGTTACAGTTTTTCCGAGTTAAAAAACAAAGTATCTTCTGTTAAATTTTAATTGAACATTCAAGTAAATAATTACAATTTGTGCCTAATATATTGTTTGACATTTGCTATATTATTTTTGTTTTACTGATGAAAAACTTGACAATTACGTGTGAATGCCATAATCATTCATATATAGGATTCAGTATTTGAATTCCTGATGTACTGCATTGGAATAAGTATATACAGTGCTGTAGTCAAATTTATGGGATGCATAACAATGGGAAATTTATACATACACACCAGACATCATTATCCGGTCGGCCGAGCGGACAGCACGCTGGACTTGTGATCCTGTGGTCCTGGGTTCAATCCCAGGCGCCGGCGAGAAACAATGGGCAGAGTTTCTTTCACCCTATGCCCCTGTTACCTAGCAGTAAAATAGGTGCCTGGGTGTTAGTCAGCTGTCACGGGCTGCTTCCTGAGGATGGAGGCCTGGTCGAGGACCGGGCCGCGGGGACACTAAAGGCCCCGAAATCATCTCAAGATAACCTCAAGATAACCTCAAGATTATCCTAATTCCTGTTTAAATTTTGGGATGGGGAGGCATCAGCCTAGAGAACATGGGTGAGTAATATACAGTAGTAAAAAAATGGGTTATAGATATTAAATAACCAAACGTGCATCCATGTATGGTATATTCCACCCCCCCCCCCCTCTCCCCTTTGCCAAACCCTCAATCACTCATTGTGTTGTCCCAACACATGCACGTTTGCCCTCACACTCGCGTCCATTCTCACATGCACTGCCTTGCACATGTACAAATCTACTTACGTACTTTCTATGATAGTCACACAGATTTTACAGGAAAGAGATGGTTGGGTTGATGGCATTTATACAGACCAAAAATGACTTTTGACAGAGGTCCCACATAAAGGGTTGTTTTGACAATTGGCACATACTGGAGGAGTGACAGGGAGATTATTGATATGAATGACACAAATATGAGGGCAGTAATCAGAGTCAATGTATCAGAGTGGAGAAATGTCACTATGTGTACATGTTTGCTGGTGATGCTAAGATTCTAGGAAAGAAATGAAACTTCGACGATTGTCGTGTCCATTTGTCCAGAAAATAAGTGTATAGAGCACCACTTGTCAAATGGAATTAATGTGAATGAATGCAACATTACGAAATGTGGAAGAGGAGAAAATAAGCCACATAAAACCATCAAATTATGTGAGAAAAGCTTTAAAACTTAAGATAAAGATCTAGGGGTGGTTCAGAACAGAAAACTGTCATCTGAGGACCAAACAAACAACTTTGTGCAAGGAGCCTATGCTATGCTTGATCAACTTTAGGATTGTAAATTACTTTAGAAATTCCTGACCTTTGTGAGACCAAAGTTGGAATGTGTATTATTTTTATGGGGCCCTTATCTTGAGAAGCACATACGTAAACTGGAAAATGTGGAAAGACGTGCAACTAAATGACTTCTGGAACTTAAATGCTGAGTCTGTGCATATTTATTTAACATTGGTATAATTAGTTTATGCTGGTTATCTTTCAAACTGCTTCTTGAATTAAATAAGTTATTGCAAATATATGCTGATATAAATCTTAACACTGAAATAAAAGTTTTGTATGTACATCTGCTCATCCCAGCGACAACTCTAATGCTTTGTATGAAATTACTAAGGAATAAAATTTCTAAATCTGTAGGCCAAATTTAGGTGACTGACTTGACTGCCCAGCCCTTCAGGTTGGCATCCATCTGGGTGACTGACTTGGCCGCTCAGTCTGTCGTTTGTCTGGGTGGCTTACTTAGGCTGACATCCGTCTGGGTGGCTTACTTAGGCTGACATCCGTCTCGGTGGCTTACTTAGGCTGACATCCGTCTGGGTGGCTGGCTTAGCCCCCTCAGGCTGGTATATCTCTGGGTGTCTGACTTGGCTCCTCGGCCTGGCATCCGTATGGGTGGCTGACTTGGCTCCTGTCATCCATATGGGTAGCTGACTTGGCTTTTCAGGCTGGCATCTGTATGGGTAGCTGACTTGGCTTCTCAGACTGGCATCTGTATAGATGGCTGACTTGGCTCTTCAGGCTGGTATCTATATGGGGGACTGACTTGGCTCCTCGGCTGGCATCCATATGGGGGACTGACTTGGCTCCTCAGGCTGGTATCCATATGGGGGACTGACTTGGCTCCTCAGACTGGCATCCGTATGGGTGACTGACTTGGCTCCTCAGGCTGGCATCCGTAGGGGTGACTGACTTGGCTCCTCAGGCTGGCATCCATATGGGGGACTGACTTGGCTCCTCAGGCTGGCATCCATATGGGGGACTGACTTGGCTCAGCCTGGCATCTGTAAGGGTGACTGACTTGGCTCCTCAGCCTGGCATCCGTATGGGTGACTGACTTGGCTCCTCAGCCTGGCATCCATATGGGGGACTGACTTAGCTCAGCCTGGCATCCTTAAGGGTGACTGACTTGGCTCCTCAGCCTGGCATCCGTAAAGGGGACTGACTTGGCTCCTCAGGCGCATCCATATGGGGGACTGACTTGGCTCCTCAGCCTGGCATCCATAAGGGGGACTGACTTGGCTCCTCAGCCTGGCATCCATAAGGGGGACTGACTTGGCTCAGCCTGGCATCCATATTGGGGACTGATTTGGCTCAGCCTGGCATCCGTAAAGGGGACTGACTTGGCTCCTCAGCCTGGCATCCATATGGGGGACTGACTTGGCTCCTCAGCCTGGCATCCATATGGGTGACTGACTTGGCTCCTCAGCCTGGCATCCATATGGGGGACTGACTTGGCTCCTCAGCCTGGCATCCATATGGGTGACTGACTTGGCTCCTCAGCCTGGCATCCATATGGGTGACTGACTTGGCTCCTCAGGCTGCCATCCATATGGGGGACTGACTTGGCTCCTCAGCCTGGCATCCATATGGGTGACTGACTTGGCTCCTCAGCCTGGCATCCATATGGGTGACTGACTTGGCTCCTCAGCCTGGCATCCATATGGGGGACTGACTTGGCTCCTCAGCCTGGCATCCATATGGGTGACTGACTTGGCTCCTCAGCCTGGCATCCATATGGGTGACTGACTTGGCTCCTAAGCCTGGCATCCATATGGGTGACTGACTTGGCTCCTCAGCCTGGCATCCATATGGGGGACTGACTTGGCTCAGCCTGGCATCCATATGGGTGACTGACTTGGCTCCTCAGCCTGGCATCCATATGGGTGACTGACTTGGCTCCTCAGCCTGGCATCCGTAAAGGGGACTGACTTGGCTCCTCAGGCGCATCCATATGGGGGACTGACTTGGCTCCTCAGCCTGGCATCCATAAGGGGGACTGACTTGGCTCCTCAGCCTGGCATCCATAAGGGGGACTGACTTGGCTCAGCCTGGCATCCATATTGGGGACTGACTTGGCTCAGCCTGGCATCCGTAAAGGGGACTGACTTGGCTCCTCAGCCTGGCATCCATATGGGGGACTGACTTGGCTCCTCAGCCTGGCATCCATATGGGTGACTGACTTGGCTCCTCAGCCTGGCATCCATATGGGGGACTGACTTGGCTCCTCAGCCTGGCATCCATATGGGTGACTGACTTGGCTCCTCAGCCTGGCATCCATATGGGTGACTGACTTGGCTCCTCAGGCTGCCATCCATATGGGGGACTGACTTGGCTCCTCAGCCTGGCATCCATATGGGTGACTGACTTGGCTCCTCAGCCTGGCATCCATATGGGTGACTGACTTGGCTCCTCAGCCTGGCATCCATATGGGGGACTGACTTGGCTCCTCAGCCTGGCATCCATATGGGTGACTGACTTGGCTCCTCAGCCTGGCATCCATATGGGTGACTGACTTGGCTCCTCAGCCTGGCATCCATATGGGTGACTGACTTGGCTCCTCAGCCTGGCATCCATATGGGGGACTGACTTGGCTCAGCCTGGCATCCATATGGGTGACTGACTTGGCTCCTCAGCCTGGCATCCATATGGGTGACTGACTTGGCTCCTCAGCCTGGCATCCATATGGGGGACTGACTTGGCTCAGCCTGGCATCCATATGGGTGACTGACTTGGCTCCTCAGCCTGGCATCCATATGGGGGACTGACTTGGCTCAGCCTGGCATCCATATGGGTGACTGACTTGGCTCCTCAGCCTGGCATCCATATGGGTGACTGACTTGGCTCCTCAGCCTGGCATCCATATGGGTGACTGACTTGGCTCCTCAGCCTGGCATCCATATGGGTGACTGACTTGGCTCCTCAGCCTGGCATCCATATGGGGGACTGACTTGGCTCAGCCTGGCATCCATATGGGTGACTGACTTGGCTCCTCAGCCTGGCATCCATATGGGTGACTGACTTGGCTCCTCAGCCTGGCATCCATATGGGTGACTGACTTGGCTCCTCAGCCTGGCATCCATATGGGGGACTGACTTGGCTCAGCCTGGCATCCATATGGGTGACTGACTTGGCTCCTCAGCCTGGCATCCATATGGGTGACTGACTTGGCTCCTCAGCCTGGCATCCATATGGGTGACTGACTTGGCTCCTCAGCCTGGCATCCATATGAGTGACTGACTTGGCTCCTCAGCCTGGCATCCATATGGGTGACTGACTTGGCTCCTCAGCCTGGCATCCATATGGGTGACTGACTTGGCTCCTCAGCCTGGCATCCATATGGGGGACTGACTTGGCTCAGCCTGGCATCCATATGGGTGACTGACTTGGCTCAGCCTGGCATCCATATGGGTGACTGACTTGGCTCCTCAGCCTGGCATCCATATGGGTGACTGACTTGGCTCCTCAGCCTGGCATCCGTAAGGGGGACTGACTTGGCTCCTCAGCCTGGCATCCATATGGGTGACTGACTTGGCTCCTCAGCCTGGCATCCGTAAGGGGGACTGACTTGGCTCCTCAGCCTGGCATCCATATGGGTGACTGACTTGGCTCCTCAGCCACAACACCGATGACCTCGTTCCGTCGCTCTCAATAACAAGACAATCGCCGTCGTCTCCAGTCCTCAAGTGGCCTCAGTATTGCCTCTAGGTAACTTGTGCTCAAAGTCTGGGGGGTATTTTGTTATTTAAAAGGTATTGGTGGCGTAAGTATG